CTGTTTTTTACAAGATACAATGAAGCCACATAAAATTACAGGTACACTATCTGTTAGATATGGCTCAGAACAAATACCTTTTCATGTATCTAATTTAAATAGCTTGATTATATAATTTGTTTTTAATTTATTTTATAAATTTTTGAAGTCTGTTTCTTTATTTATGTTTTGCATTCAATTAATAAAAAATTTTATATCCATCATAAATATATATATATATAATGTGAGGTTTAAAAACTTAGTTGTGTGTTGTATTTTTCATCTCATAGCTAAATATTTAAATGATATAAAAATTGAAAAATTTCTTCTTTCTTCTTGAATATTTATAAAAAAACATTTTTAATCAATTTTTTTTTATAAAGGCATCTAAAACAATCATATATATTAGCAGATCTCATAATAATATTTTTTTTATTGTTGTTTTATCCTACATAAATAATTCAGAACTTTCATCACTTCAATTTGTTTCATTTTTTGATTTTAATGCTTTATTTAACCAAAACAGAACAAAAATGTGTTTGCATATGTTAAATTTGCTGCATTCTTTCTTGAGATAATTTCTGTTAAAGTTTTTGTCATATATCAATAATTGCCCATTTCTTGTTGTTAAGAAACATGAGTTTGAATTTTTGATTCAATGACTTGCAACCATCTAAACAACAGAATCCTTATAGGACAGTGATGGCAAACCAATGGCATGCATGCCACAGTTGGCATGCAGAGCCCCATCAGCTGGCACACGACTAAAATATTACTTCCTTAATCAATAATCAGAATAAAATGATACTATGTAATTTAAATAGATGTTTTACTCTGTTCTTGAATTTTTCGCTTACTTACTTGTTGCATAATGCCACTGGCATAGGGCCTAAGCCTAGTTGTAAGATTTTCATATATCGCCATAGAAATGATATACACATTTGTTGACCCAATTTCTGACGTTTCAATTGTTTGCACCAATCATATTATTTGTTATAAGAAAGTGTTAATTATTTGTTATAAGGCAAAGAATACGCCAAAGTTGAAACAGCTAATGTTTGCTAAGCCAATTCAAATTTATTGCAGACTGCCCATGCATTTTAATACTTTCAGTATTAAACAGACTCCAGTTTTCAGATCTAAGCATTTTGAGGTAACTTATGCATAATTCTAATTTAATATCTTAGTCGGAATGTACAAACGTAATGTAAAAACATACAATTTGATAATATAGCAAAACACGAAAACTTAGTAGCGAAGCCAAGCTTATTCACATGCGTTCAGCCAAAATAAGCCCAAAAAAGATCATATGAAATCTAAAGTTTAGCAAAGAGATGTCCGGTTTAACGGCTACGGCTGTCCTCTGCTCATATTTGAATCTGCAGCCATAGACTGCGGATTTGTGAAAATCAAGTTCCTTAGTATTGGCTAATAATGTTACCTCTTTTTAGTATGTGACTGATTTATATTTAATGCTTCATTTTTAAATTTTGTGCTTTTCTATACTCCAGGTTTTGAACCCTCACAAATGACTCCAGCAAAAAAAGCAAAATTAAACATTGATAGTGGAAGATCATTTCAAGAAGACCTGGACAAATTCATTTGAACATAATAAGAAAGTATTAAGCATTTTGTGCAGGGAAAGTGTTGTCTGTCGCATATCTACTGTCAGACGGCACTTTAACACCATCCACAAGGTTATTGCCGAACTTAATAAAGCTGAATGGAAGGTGTTTATTGAAAGGATATTAAGGAATTGTAATTACCAGAAAGTTGGTTTCTGAAATTATCTTTCTAAAACAAACCATCTAACAACGCCCAGCTTTCAAATTTCACTATGCCTGGCAAAACGTGGTAAAGCGCTCTCCGATGGGAATTTAATCAAAGAGGTCGTGTTGTCTGGGAGTAATTCCCTTTTTCATGACTTTCCAAATAAGGACAAAATTAAACAATGCATCGCTGAGATGCCATTTAGCAGAAATACTGTTAAAGATCAAGTCCTGCAAATAGATGTCAAGTGATATTGGTCAGAAACTCACCACTGACTTGCAAAAGGCAGCTGTTACCCAATGTGCTTGGATGAAAGCCCCAGATATAAATGACTATGCAAGGCTAGCAATAGTTTTGCGTTATGCTGTTGGTGATACGAGGAGAGAAGAGCTGGTTAAATTGGCATCTATGCTCAAAAGAACACAAGGAATAAATATTTACAATACTGTGATGGAGGCTTTTTTACAAGGCATAAAACCGGAAAAGGTAGTTTCAATTACTAGTCATGGTGTGCCTTACATGTTGGAAACAACAGCTGGTTTCATAAAGTTCTTTGTTAAAGAAGCAAAGCATCCAATTATTCAGTTTCATTGTCTCATTCACCAAGAAGCTCTTTGTGCCAGAGACAGCTGCAAAATATTAGATGATGTTCTCAAAGATGTCACCAAAATGTTGAATTACATCAATGGCTCGAGTTCTTAATTGTCGACAGTTTCATGCACTTTTTGATGAGGTTCAAGCACAATATAACACTTTGCTTATGTACAATAATGTCTGATGGTTGTGCAGAGGACAGGTTTTAGAGAGAGTTGTAAGCTGCTTGGATGAAATTAGGCTATTTTTGAATGAAAAAGGGCAGGATTATCCTCAGCTCACTGATTTGGTTCGGCTTATTAACAACATTATGTTTTTACAGATTTTATACAGAACTTCAAGGTACTGAACAAGCAACTGCAAGGCTTAGGAAAAATGATACAAAGGATGTTTTGTGATATAATAACATTTGAGAGAAAACTGCATGTTTTTGAAAGAGATCTTGCAAGTGGGCAGCTGAAATATTTTCCAAATCTAAAGATGCATCTAGAAAATTCTACACAATTTGCACACAATCCTTCAAGTCATGAAGAAATCTATAAGGAATTTTCGAGCATCATAGCAGCTGCAAAGGAGTATTTTAATGACAGATTTCTACAGTTCCAAAATAGGGAAACGACCATGTGTTTTCTTACTTCTCCAGATAAATCTAAGTTTGAAGAACTTGATCTTTCTTGCTTATAATGGTTGGATTTTGAAAATCTGGAAATGGAGCTAATGGAATTTCAAGAAAGCTCTACGTGGAAAAGAAAATTATCTGATTTGTGCGTAACACTTGAGAAAATGGAGTGTTAAGAGATCACACAGGACAGCACAATTGATAGTTATGAAGACGAAATTGTGAAAGTGTGGAATTTTCTGCCAAATAAGTTTAAATCAATGAAAATATTTGGGATACTATTCTTACTTTGTTTAGATCATCTTATGAGCGGGAATAGCTGTTTTCAGCTTTGAATTATATGAAATGTGACACATGAACAGATTGACAGATAAGCTGAGTGCTGCATGTGTTGTGCTCAAATTAACAAAGTGAGCCAAGGTTTGACGAATTATCAGTATGTACACAACATCAAAAATCCCATTAATTATGCAAAACCAATCTATTTCCTTAAATAAAAAGTTATTTGTACCATTGAAAACTCTCTTCTTGTTTTTTCTCTTTAAGTCTTAAGACAAGTGTGTATTGTTTTGCTCAGCCAAACCCACATTTTCAGGTTTAATTGGAGTGTTGGCACTTTGCGATAAGTAAATGGGTTTTAGTGGAATTTTGGTCGTGCAGTCCCGAAAAGGTTCACCAACACAGTTATAAGACATGAAAAAATACTTCACAGAGCCAACATTATTTTATTTGCTAAATAATTGTTAAATATCAGACAATAATTCATTACCTGATGAGATTCTAATATCATAAAATTATTGGCTTAATGTGTGCATATTACAGTTATATTTATATTTTAATTGAGGATTTATAATTACTGTTTAATTAATCTTCTGAATCAAGTGTTCAGTCTGGCTTCCATTTGGGGTGAGGATTAAACTTTAAACCAGCTAAATAACCTGAGTAAATTGTATAATTATTCATTGATTAAAACTTTAGATCAGATAAATTTTTAAAAAGCATGTCGATCAATTAAGCTCAGGCTTGTCTTCAAATTTATTAATAATATCTAGGGTTTGTTTTAAACATCATTCATTAAGCTTGACATTCAGCTTAATTTTAAATCAGATATTTAGAAATTCATATTCTGAAACATAGTACATGGATTTTCTAAAAACTGTTTGGTTTCTTATCTTACAAAAGATGCAGATTATTGCCTCATCCTAATGCTCAATTTTTAAATTATTTGTTAGCAAAAAAACATGCATATATAACAATGCTTCATTTTTACTTATTTATTTATTTATTTTCCCAAGTCATCTTCAAGAAAAAGAATTATTTTATTGAGCCAGAATAAAGGAAGTATAATTAATTTTTAAGTAGTTGCTCTTAACTAGCTTGAAGATCAAATCAAAATTCTTGAACTTCATCACAAAAAGGGGGAAATATCATACTCAAGGTTTGAAAGATTATTTTGCAATTTGATATTGTGAATGAGTACTAGCCTAGTTTACCCTTACATGATTGGTCAAAATGAAAGCAATCAATTCTGCAAAATTCTTTGAATAGCATTATTTGCATGAATTTTAAATTACCACTTCCCTTTTTAAAGGACAAAAATGCTTAATACATATTATATTTGAAGAACAGCAGTATATTTTCTATTTTAAAATGTGAATATTTATAAATTATCTTGTCTAAAGTGAATAAATTGTGTTGCAATTGTGCATGATTTATGTTCTGTGTGGTGTGCCATTTTGTTTGGAAAAATACTTTGAAAAATGATGTAGCTGTCATGATTTGGATGACAACTAACATTGCAGTTTCTACATTAAGCTTTAAGCAATGTGTTTATTTTTATATTGCTATTATATGTTTCCCAAATTTTGCAGTTATGGTTTAGCTGTTTTATATTTATTTTCATGCTGATCACAGTGGTCCATCAAGCCATTAGGAGTCCATTTTTGAGACTAGTTACATACTTAATTTTTTATGTTTTGCCTTTATTTTCAGATCCCCTCCCCTGCTCAAATTTGACTGTAAATGGTATGTTTTCCAGGTTGTAGCAGTTCTCTCCATACTATTCATTGTATTATCGACAATCGGACTTACTTTAAACACCTTACCTGCACTCCAAGAAAAACATGATGGACATGTAGATGACAACCACAAACTTGCGGTTGTTGAGGCAGTTTGTATAACATGGTTTACACTTGAATATGTGTTACGTTTCATGTCAGCCCCAAATAAATGGAAATTCTTCAAAGGAGGCCTTAACATCATCGACCTCTTAGCAATTTTGCCGTATTTTGTGGCATTTCTCATTGAATCAAACAAGCAGACAGATCAGTTTCAGGACGTGAGGAGGGTGGTGCAGATATTCAGAATAATGCGGATCCTCCGCATATTGAAGCTAGCCAGGCATTCCACCGGCCTACAAAGTTTGGGCTTTACACTGCGGAACAGCTATAAAGAGCTAGGCTTGCTGATGCTGTTTTTAGCCATTGGAGTCATGATATTTTCAAGTCTCGCATATTTTGCCGAGAAAGATGAGAAGGAGACCAAGTTTACAAGCATTCCTGAAACATTTTGGTGGGCAAGTATCACAATGACAACAGTCGGCTACGGTGATATTTACCCTACCACTCCTCTAGGGAAACTAGTTGGTAGCATCTGCTGCGTCTGCGGTGTACTGGTCATTGCTCTGCCCATTCCAATCATTGTCAACAATTTTGCAGAATTTTATCAAAATCAGATGCGAAGAGACAAAGCCCTCAAGAGAAAAGAAGCCCTTGATCGTGCCAGAAGAGAAGGCAGCATCGTCTCTTTTCATCGAGTTAATCTGCGAGATGCTTTTGCTAAAAGTATGGATTTAATTGATGTTCTCGTTGACAGTGGCCATAACGAAAGTCAGGTAATTATAATTATGTATCATAGATTATATTTGATTGTGTAATAATTTAGTCATGCACTAAATTCTTTTACAATCTGTTAAACAAGTGTCCAAGCTCCATATATATATATATGCTCAAAAGTTTTGTGTTAATACCTTTAAATACAAAGACATGCATCTTGAAATATATCTAAACAAAAAAGGTAGTATGCATATTGGAAGAGAAGTTTTGGTACAAAGTGAGAATATTCTTTTAAAATCATAATCAAGAAAAATACCATTTACTCATAGTCACTTTGGGAAGCTTAGGGTTTTGGGACCAATTTAGAGGGTTAAAGGACCAATAAATTATCTTATATAAATACTTTTTCCTATTCATCAGTCTATAATTAAAGGTAAATGATATTATTAACAACTTATATTCAATATTATCAACTGCATTAGTTTAATGTCATAAATTTTGTATGAACCAGTTGTTAACATCCATTGCTGTTATACTGCAGGTCAACCTAACTTGAGAACCCTGGATATAGTAGAGAGTGTATGCGTCTGCCGTAGAATATAGTTCTACCATTTCGAGAAGCAATATTGTAAAAAATATGCTGTGAAATACGAATACTGTTGAACAAAAAGAACAGTAGGGAAAAAATGTGTGAAACTCTAAATTAAGTTGCATCCAGCATTTTGTTTAAAAATTTGCGAAATCGTGTCAATCATTCGATGACCAGCAGGAAGACATCCCCTTTTTCTGGCATTATTGGCGAAACTGCAAATTCCAGGTACCCTGACCTCACCCCACTCTTGATGAGCTGTTTTATTAGTAGCAATAGCTGTAGCAATTAAAACATTCATTCACTGATCGGGAGGAGAAAAAAGCAATTGTTAATGGTATCTGCTTCATCTATAACATGTGTATAATTTTCAACCTCATAAAGCTGGAAAACCACTGCACAGTTCCGCTAAGATTATCGTAGTAAATAGTTTTTGTCAAATTACGGGAGCATTTTCCTAATAATTCTGATAATGATAATGTTACTTGTTATAATAATCTTAGCAGGATTGAATACCTCGGTTAAAAAAAAAAAGCCCCTTTTAAGAGCCATAAATTAAAAATACTAGGGCTGTTTTCAAGTCCAAAAATTTTTTTTAAAAAAAGGGCAAATCTCTAAACAGTTATAAACAGCATTATAAATACAAGCTAACAACCCTTAGAAAATATAATATGAAAGTGTCCCTTCAGTAGCCGAGTATTTAAATCGCTGAATACTGGTAGTTTGAGATTGTTTGAACCCAAGCGAACGGGCTGTATTCATGACCAGTTTTGGTGGTTTTTCCCATGGGTAATGTGAATACAGTCTTATTTCTCATAGAAAGTCTTCCACAAATGCATCTCAGCCCTTAGTCAGATAGTTCTTCTGTGCTTTGCTCTATTCAAATCACCTAACCTGACCAATACGAAAGTATTGATCAATTAAGTTAATTATGGTAGAAGGAACAAGGTTTTCTGTCTAAAGGACTTGATGACTTTGTTGAGACTTTATAAGGGTAAAGGACTTCTTTTATATAATACAACTGAGGGACTTCCATGCAGTTCAGAGCTTACAGTCATTACAAACGAACTCGCTGCATACTACCAGTGTTTCATGGCTTAAGCAACACTATCATTAATACGCATGATTTGCAGATGATTCCGTCTAAGGAAAGGAATAGCTAGAACTTTCCATGTGATATGCTTGTTATTTTATGCCTCAAAGGAAGTGTAGGGTTTTTACCTAACTTATACAGTCCTGCACGACAAAATATAATTTGCGGATTCTCAGAGAATTGAATCAGCAGCTTTTTATGATTAGAGAGATGTAAAAGCAATGTATTTCCCTGCTGTGAAGTAAAAGACTCGCTTTTCATGCCCCGTCATGCATAGACCTTTTATTTGTCAAAGCATAAAAACTTTAATTTGTCTTAATACAAGCAAACGGTCGTTAATTAAAATGGTAAATGTTTTAAAAGCAATAAACGCACTTCTTAAGAATTAAATTTTTTTATACTTTTTTAGTTCTTATGAACATTTGCACTTTGTTGTAACTAATATAAGACATTTCTCATGTTATAAATATTTTAAATGATTGGTATAAGATCATTTGTTTCTTAATTTTTAATATTTCTCTAATGCCTTGAAATTTTTAATGATAAACTCTTTAGTTGTTAGACTGCAATCTGAAGATCTCAGTTTCCAGTCATTTTATTTATTTTAAACAGTAATCAGAAAGATAGGATAAAACTTACTGTAGGAGGATGATCATCTGGGCCTGACTGGAAGTGTATGTGTCTTAGGGAACAATTTATACAGGATACAATTTTTATAATGTCTGCTATATAATAATGTTATAAAGAAAATATATAATATAGTCAGAGTTTTTTAAACAACTGGCAAATTAAAATCAATTGTGCTATAATGAACTATCAGTTTCAATTGCAGCTTTATTACATAAAAAGCTTGTTCTTTAAATATGCTGTATTTGGCAAGAAATCGCCAAATGTGCCGCGCATTGGAGAAATTGAATCTTCGTAGGTAGTTTGCTGCATATGGATAACTCGAAGAACAGGGTGAAAAGGTCGTTCTAGCCTTGTATGTGTTCTCAGGTTAGCTTGTCGTAAAGTATAGTGTACATAATATCTAATAAAAGATAAAATTTTCAGATATTTGGGGGCTTACTGATTGATTTATATTTATGGATTTAAGTGTGTATTTGTAATGTATATTAACATATATAATATTAATTGCAAATAAATATCAAGTAAGAGTATTTTTGTATGAAAACTTTTAATCTTTTCATGTAGCAATAAACAAAATTTAATTAAAAAGAGATGTGCATATGTTGTTTTGAAAGAAGTTGTTAATAAGCTTAATTTCTTTTGTTTGTAAATATGTACTTTTATTTTTAAAGTAAAATAGTAGTCAACTATTAACCTGTGCAAGCAAACAACACAAAAAGTATGATTTGCTGTAAGCTGAATAATCAAACGAGAATATTAAAACAATAACATGTAACTTTATCGGTATAATTTTTTCCATTTCATTCTATGCAATGTAATATTCACTTTTTTCTACTTGTTGCTTTTTTAATACCTAGGTCTTCCTGATGATAAGGCAGTTATTTATTTTTTCCACTTTAATATTAAACATTTTCTCTCCTAACAAATCCAAAACTGCTTGATATGCAGCAAATAAATGTGGGGGGAAAAACTCTTGCTAATCTTTTCATCGTTTTATCATTAAAAAAATGTATTCATGTACTATTATGAACATTCTGAAGCAGTATTAATAATCATTCATAATTTTTGCAGTGCAATGGTGTTTTCTTTTATCAAATAAAAGATTCTGTGTATTTGTAGATAGTGTATTCCAAGACATGCTGCTTTATGTAAAATTGTGTATAGTACTAAATGCTATATACGTGATGGCTTAAACAAACTGAATATGCTTAGCACTATCTGTAGCTTCATCCATGTTCAGAGTCACTGGTTTTTATAGGGAGACAAACCAACACAGAGAAAGCATTATCCTATAAAATATATATAGTTTAAAAGGCACCAATTGAATGTCATATGGCATTTTAAGGAAGAAAAGCATTATGAAGATGGGCAAAGAAATGGATAAGGAAGCTATAGCTATTTGAATTTATTGCTGTGCAGTGTAAATAATGCTAGAATAAAACATTTAATACAGCTCTGTTATGCAACATGAAAATCATGTGCATTTCTCTCATAGGGAACTGTTCAGTAAGCCACAACTATAAATAAATAAATAATAGAATTACATCAAATGATCTAGTTGATCATGTATTTTTGCAGAATTGACTGATAATTCTGTTTTCTGTAATATATTAGCTTAGAAGCTACTGAACTTTTCAGCCAGTGTGGAAAAGCACTTTATTTTGCTTGATTGTGTCTACATACTGCTAAAGTTGAAGAGTGGCAAAACATGTCAGCATATCATAATAGCATCATCACATAATTCTTTATCAGTAAAATTTTTAACTTTTTTCTACCTCACAGAATCATGCTTCTCATGCTCTGTTATGTATTTCTTTCAAAACTGATAATAATACAAATGTTAAATAGAAGCTTTAAGTACTAATGGCTCTGAGTAAGTGCAGTTTAATTATATCTGCTCTCTATAATGTGATAGCTGTGCAATGGAAATAAAATAAAGTGTAATTGATAAATTAAGCATTGCTAACAATAAATGAAGTTATGTATACTGAACTGCCATTTAAGCTTTTCTACTTCTTTCCTTTTATATTATGAAAGTTGTTCATTCTGTTGTTCATTTTAATTCTCATGTTACAACAGAGCAATGAATAAAAATGTATCTGTACAGTACCATAGTATCATGTGCAGTTTAAAGGGTTGATGAAGCAATAAAAGTAGCATTTTCATTCTAAGACTTGTGTAAACAATATGACTTAAGCCTAGATCAGGGGTCTCCCAACTTTCCAGCCTTAGGGCCATACTGATTACTCCAGTAAGTTCCGAGGGCCAAAACCATATTATCATTGTTGCCGGTGGTAAAAAATGAAATAGTCCACTGATGAAAAAAAAAGTCCGAAAAAGTACGCAACGTTTAAAAAAGGCTGCAAATCGGACTAAAGTCCGCAAAACGGCAACACTGCATATTATTAATTTTCCTGTCATTATCTGTAATTTCTAGATTAGTCGTAGAGTACGAGCCATGAGGAGTAACGTGACACGACATCTGGTAGACACAAGCGGAAATAGGTAGTACCTTCTATCCGCTAACAGATGGCGCTAATAGCACGTACAGAAGTCAGTTCCTATGACACTGTTGTGAAATAAAATAGTGCGTACCTCCTTAACACGTGTTTGTGCGTGTTTAGACATCTTTGTAACAGTATTTTGATTTGAATTGTTGCTTTTGTGTGTGATTTAGTAGTATGGAAAAGAAGCGAAAAATTGATAGTGAATGCAGAAAATTCAAAGATCAGTGGAACATTCAGTAT